TCGGCGGGACGGGAGGATAAAAAGCCTCATTCACGTAGAACGGCATGTTGCCGGTAGATGCACGCACTGTATTGTTCAGAGCGAAGTCCACAAAAAACAGCCCGACCAAAATCGGTTTGGAGTCAAAGGGTATGGTGTTTAGTGCCGCCACGGACCCAGCGGTAGATCCACGACGCTTTTCTCCTTTCTGAATGGGATATCCTCCAATCTCTTCTTATGAGTGGTTGAGTGAAGGTATAGATGGGCCCATTCCGCCAGACCAAAATGTCATACTGTGGGACAAATTGATTAAGCCGCCACAGTCTGTTGCTTCATTTGTGGCACTTACTGAAGTAAGTGTGACTTTTCTTAATAGAGCCGTCTACAGAGGCAATATTTAGCAACTTTCCCATAAGGAGCTCTGCAAAGTCATTGAGGAATTTTTGGGCACATTTACCCAAATTAGTGATCCAGACACTTTGTTGTCGACGGTTCAAGCTCAACCTAGTCTTCACCGAGCCTTGCTTGTTTCCAGCACGGAGGGAAATTTCCACAACCTCCGCAACAAGACTTTTGGGCACGCTGTACTTCGGGAGCTAAGCACTCGTACATATCCGTCAACCGACGATGGTAAAATGTTTGATCGGGTCTCCACTCTATACCTCAACCAGTCCGACTATGACTTTCAGACCGTATTGGAGCAACTGTGTCCAGAACAGTCCCAACGGCTTAAGTTACGACATGCCGAGGCTGATCAAGCTATGATCAAGCTATGCAAAGTATTGCACCTCTTATCTATCTGGACCCACTTAGATTAACCGTCCTTGGGAGAGCAGCATCGGCACTGCCACACCCGATGTGGCTATTCTGGGATGATTTGAATTAGGCTGCCATCATCACGTCGCCCTTAATGATGAGCATTTTGGCCTAACCTCTTTTGACTGCCCTTCGCGAAGCATTTAAGATCTACGATAGCATACGGTGGCCATTCCATCCCACTCATCTCTGATGTGCAGTAGACCCTACGGGGTTACTCTCTCAACGTGAATGGCCTAAATAACGTCACACAACGAGCCTTGAATTTTGTTTTTAACAATTTGCACTTAGTGGGAATTCAAGAGGTAACGTTGACGGGTATCGAAAGTCTAATAAAAGCTAAACACCATTGGAGTACGGCTTCGCGGCTAAACACCAGCTTTTGGTCACAATATAATATGAGCACATATACAGGGTAGACTGGTGTCGGCCAACTATTAACATCATCGTACCCAATCGAAGATCTTTGTGATGTAACGTGTCGGTATGTAAGCTCTTAGATTATCTATCTCTGTTTCTACTTATTCGAGGCACTCTTGATGCAACTATCACTTATATCCATGTTGCGTACGCTCCGGCCTAACCAAGTAAAAGGTCCGACTTCTTTACTACTTTAACCCACCAGTTTGAAAACGATTGCCAGCACATCGTTTTGGGCGACTGTAACACTATTTTTCGTCTGCTTGATATGGCTCAGTAACCGCGATCGACTTCGAAACAAACACCTTAGTGGATGATTGTTTTGAACTTGGTTGATGCTTGGCGACTTCAACACCCGAACCTTTAAGGGTTTACAAGTTTTAACAGTAGCTCTCGCATTAACTACGACTTGGTAAGCTCCAGACTTTTTCAGTCTGTCATTCAAGACATTCGCCACGACTTTCGCGGCTCGGCGGGCACATGTGACCATGTCGGAATTTCTTTTAGGCTCGGATACTCCGGGTTTAAGCCTCCAAATCGGGCTCCCTGGAAATGCCCGTCATGGGTTATCCAGCTGCCTGAAGCCCAAGAGTATTTGCAGCATTCCTTGCGTGAGCTAGCGGACTCATTTTGGGTCCCTAATTGCGGATCCTATCATCCGGGATGCCTATTGGACAAACGCAAGCGGGAGACTCCATATTTCTCCGGGAGTTGTTTTTAAGGAAAAATGAGCGAAAACAGGTATAGGAAAATCTTCATTTTAAGGTGAATGTGCTCCAGCACTTGAAAGCCTAAGCTTCGTCTGCTGCTGACCCTACGCAACTTGCCACTGCTAAGGCCAAACTTGGGCCGAGCAAAACTACTACGCTTTGGAGCACGATTTTACCTCCAGCCTAGAAAACACGGAGCGTTGCTCTAGATTTTCTTTCGGTCGCTCCAAGTGCTCCATGAGACACCCATTCCTGTGGATTCGGCCAAAGACTTGAAGTCAACTCGCGCCCAATTTTTGTCCTTCTGATCTGGAATATACTGCTCGCCTTCAGAAGAGTTTGGTCATGGGCGACCCGAATGAGGTAGTATCAATCTTACCCGAATATTTCAGGACAGTACGGCTCGTCTCGCGCCAAATAATCAGGCTTACTTGGACAGCCCGTTTACGGATTTGAGTTTTACTGGGCATTAACTCGCACTGCTATTCCGGGGCCAGATGACTTACCTGCAGAGTATTATAAGAAGGACTTACCTCTCTGGAGTCGAATATTTGAATTGGTCTATGCTGCTCCAATTGAACGCGGGAAAATGACTAAACTTTAATGGCGGGCCCAAACTCGCTGCTCTACCAAAAGAGCGACCGAAAACTTTCCAGTCACTACCGTCCAATATCACTACTCAATGTGGACGCCAGGCTGGGACCGAAAATTTTAGCCCACAGACTTCGCTCTATACTCGGTAGTTTGCTGCACTCGAATCAATATGGATTCGTCCCGGGCCGCGATATCCGCCATGTCCACCAGCGGTTTCAAGCACTGTCCCATTTGTTCGCAAACGGTGATTTTCCTACTGGCGCGGTTTTACTTGACTTGCGAAAGCCTTTGATAGTGTCGTCTGGGATGCACTTGATATAGTTTTGATGCACTTTGGGTTTAGTTACTCATTTAGACTCTGGATTCGAGTCCTCTTTCCCAGCACACTGGTTTCCTTGAAGTTCAACAGGCGACCACTCAACCATTTGAGCTAGGATCCGGGGTTCGCCAAGGTGATTCTCTCTCGCTGGCACTTTTCGTACTATTTATTGAGCCAGTGTTCAATTATGCACGGGACCATCTTCATGACTTTGGACTTCGTGTCGGCTCAACAGCTCACGCGGTGATCAGTTTTGCTGACAACTGTACTGGGCTTCTCTGTGATTCAAGCCATACTAAATTCTTTTTACAACTCGTATAAGCTTTTTGTGAGGCCTCCGGTATGCGCCTAAACAAAGACAAAACAGTGATTCTTGCTTTCAAGCCTTGAACCAACGAAACAAAACCTTTACGTCAAAGCCTTCACAAATGGTGTTATCGTGGTGGGAAATACTGACCGCGCAAAGCTACAGAGAAATTTTTATGGTCCAAGCCTCACCGACACTGACCGCCTACAACACCTTCTATCAGAGATGGAAAAACGTTACTCAGTTTGGCTTCATCGCGCGAGAGCTTTACGCGAGCATGTAGTCATTCTTCAGCAAGTAATTTTACCCGTTCTATGGTAAACCGCGAGCGTCTGCCATATCCCGGCATCAGGATTTCAAGACCAGCTTTTACGGCTTATTTCGCGCTTCAAGTGTCGATTTAAGACATCAAACGCGCTGCCCCGCGACTAGTGGTTTCTTCCCTTGGGCTAAGGGGGGCTGGGGGATGGCGCCCATTACAAACACGATTCGGAGTCTCCAACTGCATATGCTGTGCAAAGTGATGCCGGCAGGAAGATTGACGCCTTACATCCCTTCTTGGGCAGATTTAGTCATTCGACTATTTGATCATGCTATGTCACCTTGGGGGGAAGATTTAGACATTCTGTATGCACCAATGACTACAAATCCAGTCTACGCAATTTTGCTCTGTTCTAAGTGCTGTGCGGCCCCTGGGCTTTACTGGCACAATGTGCTTTTACTTGGCACACACACTTTTGGCGAATGCTCACCCGGCTACAAATTAAATTTGACAAGCTAACATCATTGAAATAATGTGGATATTGTCTATGCCTACCGGGGCAGCACTTTGGCGGGGACTTCACGGTCGCTAGGCTTAATTCGTGAATTGGCAGATCAAAGGATTTTTTGTCCAGCTCAACTTTTTCGAGCTTGTCCGCCTCCGATGACGCCTGCAAGCCTATCACAATTTCTGAGCCAATTTGCTCGGGTCGTTTAGTGAGCAAGCGCTCGTGTGCCAATTTCTTGGACAAGGCAAAGTGTTTCCTCATTCACAGGATCGTATCCCGATTGGGCCCTGCCAGGCTTCGCGCAAATACACTGCCAGCCACGCCTGGGTTTTTGATGCTTATGAAGTATCGGAACTTTGCGTGCCTCGCATTCGCTCATCGAGTTCTCGGTGCCAGCGTTGTTCCTTTCGCGGTTAGACGTTTCAAGCAGCCCCCCCTCTGTCATGTGGATTAGAGATGTAAAAATGGGCATGCACGTTCTGCTAGTTTATTCCGATCTGCTATATAGGCTACATCATAACGCTCTCTTTTTTGGCTATCGGCTTTAGCACTACCCGGTACTCAGTCGATGTACCACCATGGGTGCGAGGTCCTGGGGACGGCTCCTCCCCTCTTTTGGTTCTGTGACTTTGCCATACAAATCTGGGCTGACTGAATTACCGATTTTCATGCCTTTTTCTTGGTGCACTAGAATGGGATTCAATCTTATTTATCAAGCTGGAGCCTGAAGCAACGGCCAAGACCCGCTATGGCTATAGCCTCTTTGTGGTTTCCACATTTTAAGAGCAGTGAATTTCGGTGTCTATGGCTAAATCGGAATGATATCCGCTCTCATGACTTTCAAGTCAATGTTGCGGACGTTCAAGCTCGAGTCAAGGCCGTCGTAGTGCTCCACATTGAGTGCTACTATCAAGATCTTCTATATTCAAATCTATGAGCCATCCAGGACTTAGACGGCGCAGTCTGCAAGAGCTGTTGGCAAACCTCCAATTTCTGAAGCGCTGCCACTGTGCCCCGAGGCTATGAATAATTAACGGCTTTCTACTGTGTGACGACAACTTGGCGTTAACACTGGCTGCAGTGCTGCGCTGTGGCCACTCTCAAAGTTTCCCATACCCATAATTCATGTGTCGAGAATTACAGAAATGATATAGGAAAACAAGAGTATACCGCTTTGTTTTCCAGACGGGTTGGGTTTTGGTTTTTTCCTTTTCGAATTTAGTCATTTTGGACTTTAATGGTTTGGAGGACTTTGGAATTTGGCATTTTAGGTTTTTCTCCTACTGGACAAGTTTGTCGAACCCGATTTACGAATGCGTCTGTTTGGGGCCACGGGCTAACCCGATCTACATCAGAATTTGCGTAGCCATTTTGGTGTGATAGACCTTAAAAAGTTAGCCACTCGCAAGCCATACGACATTGCCTACTACCGTCTCACTCGAGGGCGTCACTAAGCGTTAAGTAGGCTTTCCCATTGGGAATTTCGCATATCGCCGTTGCCTTGCTAAGGTATTGTAACGATTTGTCCCGAAGGTTTACCGCAAGTAACCAGATGTTAGACTTTTTTTTAGTAAAAGGCAACTCTAGGTCCCAAGACCATTTCATGCATCACCAGACCCAACCCAATTTTTGGCCGCGGGGGGGTCGAACCCGCAGCCTTCAACTTGGTCATGCAGTATCGTGACCACTCCGCCAGAACACCAAATGGAGTTTTATTAGGTGTCTTGACTCCTATCTGGGACATTGCGCTTACGCATCCTATACTTGGAATTTGTATGGAATCCGTTTATTTTGATAGATTATAAGGTAGAGAAATAATAATGAAAATGATTTCTCATAGTTTATGGTATAATTGTGAATATTCTTGGGTTGGTGTTTATGAAAAAGAAGGAGTCCATGGTGTATACTTGCACATCAGAGAATAAAGAGACTTCGAGGTATATAATATTATATGTCGTAGTATCATTAATCCTATAAATCTTACGTTTCTTACAGGTCCTTGGTTCGACCAAAGCACACGAAATGAACCTTGTGCGTTTGCAAATACGGACTCCAAGAGCCAGAACGTTTCTGTACAGTTGGCACGGCAAACCGTTAACTCATCCCATCTTCGATTCAGCAAGAAAGAGTCTGATTAGCGAGGTCGCAGATACACTGTAGGCTAATTACGTATAAATAAATCCTTTCCCACTACATATTTTGGGTAAATTGACTGCCGTATGCATCGTCGGATTGCTGTTGAACATCCTGGGTATCAACCGTAGCATCGCGCGCCTGGTGCAGGGCACTACTACAATTTTTTTCATCACGCAATAGTCCTTTAGCGATAGTTTTTTCCTCTTGCGCACAGACTCAACGTATCGCCTAACAATGTGTTTGTAGATGCGTTCGCTATAGTCTTCCCGTCCTTAGTAATACCCTCTTTATACGCTTGACATATTACTGCATGAGTTTGAGCACATATTCCATGCACTGCATCGCAGTATCAAAGCTCCATTACAGAGCCGAACTTGCGGTTGATACGTCAAAAGAGAAGTTCACGTGACCTAGCGAATTGACGAGATCAATAAGAAATGGCGCTTTGAGCTCCTTGTCAGCTACAGGATTGGGTTGATAGACCAATGAAGTAGCACTTTCATAGTAATACCACGCATTTGTTCTTCTGTATTGTCGAGACATCCACCTAAAAGAACACTATCCATTTGAGTACATTTGGTTGGTTACAAGATCTACTTCTACGGTTATCGTGTCTACAAGTTGCTCCGAGATGATACCACTGGATGACACATTTAGTGTCGTCTTGCCGTCAAATGCGTTAGGATGCAGATGCTGCAAATGCGTCCGGGTGTGTGAATATGTATGTTAAGACACTTTTCGTTTTGGCATTTATATTCTCTTAATGCATTTATTTATTCTGAACCAGTTCGGTGACCTGGACCTCTTTGCAAACAACGCTTCAAGCATAATATTCGGGTACTACGTAGTCTAATAATGACTCGGCTCTTGATATACTACCGGATGCAACGGGGGTCCATTCACCTCGAAAGTACCTGCTACAAGCGAGCGGCGTCAGACCCAAGACTAAGCGGGTGGAAATGTTGGAACCACTGTATGTGTGTTGTTCAGCGATAATGTCACATTTCATTTCTATTTTTATGATCAGTAATTGACCTGACAAATTGTGATCAAGCGCTTTTTGTGTAATACTCAAATTTTAAAAAATGTATTAACCCTTTTTGATGCTTTCGTATGGAGATAAATATCGCTGCGCGGCATGTTCAGCTGCAGAATTCTGAGTCTTGATAAATTTAAAAGCAGATTGAGATGGAGGTGGGGACGGTGGATTCAATTCGTTTGATGAATGTCCATCAGACAATGTAGAATTTACAGTCATCGGCGTTGTAGGTGAACTGAGTGTAGGCAAAAATGCCTGCCGTCCTACGACATTGGAACTCGATTTAGGACGCACTTTACTCGAACGTGAACCTGCAATGCCTTTCCCACCACTAAGAACCTTTTCAATCGTTTTGGAAGCATGATGCCATTTCTTTGTAATTTTAACCTTTTCCATTGTTCGCAAGATAAGATCCCGCTGAATTTTCGTCTGAATCGCCAATTGTTTTCGACAATTTACAAGCAATTGCTTTTCATCCAACAAGTGTTGGGTCCGAACTTCCGAATCTCGTAATTTCCGTGACATTTCCAATCGTTGATACTCTTGCATACGTTTCATTCGTTCCACTTTATCCATCTTGAGCTGTGCTTGTAACTTGCGATACTCACATCTCATTGCTCGTTGCTGCTCTTGATGTTTTTGGACTTGTTGGATATTTCGATCCGTTTCAGTTTGTCGCTCAATCATCTCTTGTTTCTTCCGAGCTTCTTCTCGACGCGATTCCTCCAATACAAGCAATCTCTTTCTTTCCGCCTCCGCCTGTTGTTCTAACTGCAATGCTCGCACGCGTCTCTCCTCTTCTTCACGCTCCTTTCTCGCAGCTTCACTCGCTTCTTGCTTTCGACGAATCTCTTCATTTCGTTGCGCTTCGAGTTTTTTCGACATTTTGAGATTTTTTCGAATCCTTTGGGTGACTTGCCGTCGTCGTGCTTCCATCACAATCGCACGGTCTGCGCGTTGCTTTTCCACTGTTTCTTCACGTGCTTTCTCGGCCATTTCTAATTCATGAAGTCGTTTCTGAACTTCTTCTTGTTGAGCACGTAAGAGTTTTTCTGTCTGAACTCGATGCTCTTCTGCTTTAATCTTGCGCTCTTCTTCGCGTTCTCTCGCTTCCAATCGTCGAAGTTTTTCTTGTCGAGCTTTTTCTTCAGCAAGAGTTCGATCGCGCGTAGCCAATTGCATTGTCAATTCTTTACGCCGTTCGTCTTCAGCCTCTAGCTCAGCTTTCTTTCTCAACTCACGAGCTCGTTTGTCAGCTGCTACTTCCCGTGCAATACGCACTTTCGAACGCTCCATCGCGTCGTGTTGTCGTTTCTCCCGTTCCATTTTTTCTGCTGCTTCTTGTTGTAATCGATTCATTTTCATTTCAAATTCGAGCATTTGCTCCAGCTCGCGCTCTTGACGTTGACGAACTTTTTCCAAACGTTGACGTTCAAGATCTAAAAGAGCAGAAGAGCGTTTCATACTTGCACCATTCGAATTTGATTTGTGTTCCGATTCTTCTTTCAAAGGGACAACTTTTTGATCAATTCCATTCACAAGTTTCATCTTTTCACGTCGTAACATTTCCATCTCTTCATGGCGTCGTAACGAATACGCTTCGTGACGCATACGTTGAACGGCAGGTGTTACTTCAGAGTTATAAAATGAATCCAAATCACGTAATTTTAATGTTTCTGGATTCACACCACAACGTAAACAAACTTCTGCTGAACGAGGAGTAAGAACAAGATGTTCATGAGGTGGATTGATATCCGAAGACCGAAAGTTGCTCAATGTTTGAAATACTTCTTCAATCGTCTGAGCTCGTACCTTATGCTTGCGAGATTGAACTTTTTTCATTGCTTGAACATCATCACTAGAAGTAATTTCTTCAAGATCAAGATGCATTCCACTTGCTTTACTCATCTCATCATTCTCGATATTCATGGCTTATGATTCATAAAAATAAAAATAAAACGCAAGTAATAAATGATGACAAAAGTTATAAGTGGAAAGTGCTATTTTTAACATTTTTACTACATCAATCTCACTTATAATAGTATATTCGTCATGTCAGCAAGATGAGACGTGAGTTGCACGAGGTTCTTTACGGAAAAACGGTAATGTCCGGACAACTCGACCAACAGCTTGTGTTCGACCGTCGCGCAATACCAGTGGAACATCTGGCTGAATGTATTCTGGCCAGTACATAAACTCAAATCGGCACATTGTTGGAGCAGCTGGAAGAGACTTGGTCGTATGAGGCAGTTTTAACTCTACGATCTTGGCCATTTGACGTACTTGCCCTGTGTGAATCACAACTTGATTATTCTCGCGAAATCTTCGTGCATCGGGTAAAAAATGGAGCTCAGCGTCAAATTGACGCGTTGCTATCGGTCGAACACTTGGATGTACCAACATTGTCCCTTTTCTGAGGCGATAAGCTGGCTGAGTAGTTGAGAGAAAGCGAATGCGCACAGCTCCCGTCTCACCAGCGCTTAAAGTTTGTGCTGCTTTGTGTTGCACTTCTAGACTTTCAATAAGGACGTCGCAAAAGTTTCCGTCTGCATCGGGTCCAAGCAACATTTGCTCATGGACACACATTGTACCAGCTTGGACCAGCCCAGTTACAATGATTCCAGCATCTTTAATGTCGTACGCTTGGCGAATTTGAAATTCTGCTGGTGTCTTAGCTTTAATTGCCCACAACCGCTTTGGTTCGAGTTTAGCAAAATATCCTTGTAAGACATCTAATCCAGTACCAGTTACGCTCGAAATCTGAAAAACCGGTACAATGGTTGAATGAGTAAGTTCCAAGAGATCTGTTTTGTCGTCCACTATTGTACTAGTGCATTTCGGTGCCAGAATAATTTGCTGATTTGGACAAAATGTTGTGACCAAATCGGTAATTTCGCATATCACTTCTTCAATTCGGCCATTTGTTGCAATATCAATTTTCGTAATTACGACAAAAATGGCTACATTCAGTGCCGTGGCAATCTTCATATGTTCACGTGTCATATCCCGAACACCACGGACAGCATCAATCACAACCATTGCATAGTCAGGAAATTGTCCTGCAAGTCCTGATGCTGTGCTCTTCAAGTACTTGAGATGGCCTGCGAGGTCACTCAGTGTAATAAAACGCTCTTGTCGTGTAAAAGTTTCGATATTTTTACTCTCATCGTCACTATCTTCAAAGTCATAAGAGCGAAGTTCTTCTATCCGACGAAAGTGACCATCTGCTGCAACAGCAATCGTATGTTCACTTACACTGGATGTACAGCCATTCTCTAATTCATGACGATGACGACACACTTGCATTCTCGCTAATCCCGCTCCATCATCAAGACAACCTCGTGTTAATACTCCTACTAATGTCGACTTGCCACTCATAAAGTCTCCAATCAAAGACATTCGCAGTCGTTTTGTCGCATGAGTTTCACGTACTCGCACAATTTGTATTCGTACAGCTTTGTGACTTGCATCCCGTCCTCCACGAAATTGAGAAAGCGACATTTCTGCATGTACGACACGACACATGCTGCGTTCATAAGACCACTTGTTAATACATGGCTAAAGGTTTTAGTGCCATGTTGACCTCATACCGTGCTAGAGTCACTAAAGAGCGTAAGATAGCTTCCTCTTTAAGGCCCAAAACCTCCCCATTGTCCTTAACACCAAGTTCATAAAAAGCAGTGCCTTTACCTTCGTTTAATCGCCAATGCATTTGCGTCGTCAATTGGCGCAAGCGACCAGGTGATGGAGCTAGCAATTGCTGCTTATATTCAACATTGCCTTCTTCAACTTCCTCTGGTAAACGATCGGATGCCTCAAGGGACTTGGTGGATGCGAATTCGGCACGAACTTGGCAACACAAAGTCGTTAAACCTACGTCCGTCATTTTGTGATGTGGAACTGGTCTCTTCGAAAAATGTAAGCGGAATATGAAATTAATGAGGTCAAAAAAGGGTATATCAACATTTCTAAAATCAGTCTTACCACACGAACTTTCTGGTGTGGTTTGTGATAAAAAAAACTATCATTAACTATGCATTTAAACCACTTTTCTAGCGGAGAGACAGAGCCTGGATTGCCACCCAATAAATTTGTGCATGTTCGTCCCTGTCTGATTAAACGATCGAATTATCTAAACGTCGATATGTCATGCTTATACGGATATGCAGTGAGGTAAAGCCGACAATTTTTCTAGAACGAAGCTTTCTACGCAAAGATTCAGACCTATAATTCCTTTCCTTTCTATGTTTGGACAGAGCATGATGAAGTATCATGATCAGTACTCGGTACGAATGATGAGTGACTGAATTTTGAGCCGTGTCAACTGGTCGCATCACGCTTGTATCAGAGTAAGATATCATTATGAAGTGACAAGAGTACTGAACCTCAAGATCCAATTATTTAAAAATGTATATTTATACTGGCTGAAATATGAAATCAAAGCCTTTGATACTTTACGTATACTATTATGGTGGTACAAAATAAAGTATCATAATATCGTATCATAATAATTCTTCTCGAGGATAAGAATAAAGATATTTTGAAAAAGATAGTTACGTCATTGTTGAATTCTCGTCGCACCTGTTTTCGAAGTGATATCATGCATCTCTATAGTAAACTGGCCGCGCTGCTTGCCACAACTTTGGCTGCTTTCACCAGCGCGACCTTAGTCGAACGTGACATTCAGCCTGATAATCCACTTGATCTGGTTCACTACGGGGACACGCGGAATGCTATTATAAGAGGTAAATAGTGAAACAAATGTATCTAGACTTATTTCAATAAAGGCCATTCTTGGCATCAAAACAAACCAAGAAAATTGGTAATTTGAGATAATCTCGGTTTCGCACCTGCGTCAAACCCATTATCCATGCATTGGCTTACGCGACTCACTAGGTCAAAACTCCCCTTGTATGGAGTTCGCGGGAATCCTGTTGCATTTAGCAGCATTTGTCGCCAAATCAACATCTGAGCCTTGTTCAATCTGTATCTTCTGTAAGAATTTACGAGCTTTTCGACCCTCTGTTCTTGATGTACCGAGACACACTTAACAAGATTCTGTCCCGATTTGGTCCCTAGCACAATCGGGACCCAAGGGCCTGAAGCGGGAATCGTTCACCTGAAGGTGCTCATCAGCTATAAACATGTGCTGACGAGATAAATTCACAAGAATAGTTGGCTGCAGAAGCACATCTGATCCCTATAAAGGCTCTTTTAGCCAAGCGTCCAGCCGTTTAAGGTCAGAGATAGAGAGGATATATTTCTAGGTAAGAGAGGTTGGGATGTCTATTACTTTGACCATCATTCAGATAAAGCATCATTGCGTCGCGCAGGTGGCCCCCACCTTGGTAAGCGGCATGGTAGACTAGACATACTCTGCAGAAAAGGCATTCCAACATGTGAAGGGTCTAAGAGTCAGAGTTAGCAAGTGTTAGCGCTGCCTGACCGGGTATATCAGATTTTGTTTACTTGTCTGAGGAGTGTAACGGGGTTTCACTTACCCTGGTATGAAGGGGGTGAGTCACACAAAATAATGTGTTCACGCAATGTTATGTGTTACACAAAATGATGTGACACACAATGTTGTGGCTACACATGTACAAGGAGCCAGCTCGTGGCTAAACTGCCAGTAATTATACATTTAACTAGCTTTTACTACATAAATAAAAAAACTATAGATATAACTATAGGCGCCTTGATGCAAATAAAACGAGAAATACAGTTTACGTTGCTAAACGAAAGAGTTAATTAGCCTTGGGTTTAGGTTGTAATTACGTTTTGGAGTAAATGGATTGCGATCCACTCCACTCGTACTGGTTCTAAGTATCAAACGAACTCCCCGACCCTAACCAAGCTTCCTCTAGGCGAAAGAGCTACGGCGGCCCCTCTGTATTTGGTAGCACTAGTAGCCGATATACACCTGAGTCGTTACGACTGACCCTGTGAGAATGGAGCAGCTCTCTTATTTGCCCCAGGGCATGCAGGTCGGGCTTAAAAAGCCGATATCTCAGCTTGGCCCTGAGGGCGGGCAACACTCGCTTTGCAAGCATCTAAAGTAATCAGTGCGCACCAAGAGGAAATTCAAGCTTTGAAAAAAGCTTTGCTAGAGCACCTACAGCAGAAGAAGTCGGTGTCGACAGCGTCCATAACGCCACCGTCGACGACGAATGATCCCCACTTACCCGACACAAGCCGCTCAGCAAGAATGGATAAAATCTCCTGCTCTGGGCGAGGGAGATTAAGATGGCTATAGCATCCGCCATGTTCCAGAGCGAGCAACAGCGCGTGGCGCTAGCTATGTCCAAGCTCGGTGGTCGAGCGCGAGAATGGGCACTGACGTGCGGCACTTCGGTCGAAGCTGCGTTCCCTACTGGACGGAGCTGAAGCTGCAGCTTTTGCGGGTTTCTCGCCGCCTAACCAGGCATATCGCATGCGATCGCGCTTCCTTGCCGCCCGAAAGGGCAAGAAAAAAAGGGTGGAATCATCCAAGATTTAAGAACACTCATTGCCAGAATGGCAGCCGATCCTCTCTCCGAAGCGGCCGCAGTGACCGTCTTTGTGGAGGGTCTCCGAGCTGGTGTAGCCAGATTGGACGTCCTCCGTGTGCATCCGTCTTCTTTTGAAGAAGCGGTGAAGATGGATTGAGTGCCGATATCAGCTTCATGTCGGAAAGACCTGGTTGGAATGCGCACCCTCAGAGCTCGTCGAGCACGCCTGAGCCAATGGATCTCAGCTATGCTGAGAAAGAGGAGGCAGAGCTCCGAGCTGCTGGCCAGCGTTCGAACACCCGACAGTGTTTTGTCTGTGAAGACATCCGTCACCTTCGGATTAATTGTCCCCTGCGCGAGACGCGACAAATCTCATCAAACCAACGTCCCGCTTCTTACCAGTCTTCTGGTTTGTCGCAAGAAACGACAACACCCCAGTAGGCGCGGATCGGCCACGCGGGAAATAACTGTGCTTTGTTGAGCCTCAACGAAGTAGAGGGCAGCAGGGCCCAGCCCCGAATAGCTCCGTGCCCTTTAACACGGAACGAGAATGCAAGCCGGTCTTGCTGGTCGTAAAAGCGACCGTGGAGGGCTTTGAGAAGCCATTGGAGATCCTTATCGACTCCGGGGCATGGGCAATTAAGCTTAACGCTTCACCATCGAATAAAGTCAGCTGTATGCAACGGCGCTGACGTGCGCATCCACGGTCCGTCTTTGACCCTCGTGTAAAATATTGCTTCCGCTCCGCGGATCTCGCTACAGAAGCCAAAAACGCGATCGCTCGATCGTTGGCGTCTACGCGATTGAGTTCTCAGTCACTATACAAGCTGAGCTTGACGAACGAAGAACTCTGAGATTGCTTCTTGGTTTCTCAAGAAACCCCGGTGGATACGTACCGCACTCGACTTCGTGCTCAAAGAGAAGGCGCTCTTGTACCCGCAATGTGGACGATTCCTTTGGTGCTCGTCTCTGGCGAATTCGCTGCAGATAGCATAGAGCTCGTTGAGCGATGGATGCAGTGGCACCGGATACTTTCCTTGCCATCTACATTACAGCTAAGTCACAAAAAGGTGGACGCGCGCCCGGAACGCCATCTTTGGTTTGAGTTTGCCAAACTCTAGGCGCGTCGCCAACATCATTCGGATTGTCGCCCTGTGATGTGCGAGATGATCCATCACGCTTCCGCAAGCTCTTTGGTCTCTCACACGGGTCAGTCTGCGACCGCAGCAGCTCAGAGCCATAGCTTGAGCTAAGCTCATGGCCCTTCGGCTTTGCCGAGAAGCACGGGGCGTACGACGACGCGGAACGTCATCATCCCTCTGGACATAAGTGTCCACGATGTCTGGGCAGTCTTGTGGAAGTGGCACTCCAAACTCCCACGAAATTTCAAGGTGGGGGTATCCCCGCCATTTCACAAGATACTGGGTGTGACCCTGGCGACGACGTCGTCCCACAAGACGTTCCACTTGATAGGTGGACATCATCATTCTCGTCGAGAAGAGTCGACGGCATACGAAGATAACTGGGTTGTTCGCCTTTCAAGTGACTCGCAAAGATCTTATAGCTCCATTGCGATCGGGAACCCTCTGGATATCATGCTGAGATTGCATACCGCGGCGCGGAAAACCCCTAGAGAGCTAGTGGCTCATTGTGCACCGGCTGCCTCACGTTGAGGACTACCGTGCTCTACCGGAGCGGCTCCACATACCGCTGTGCGAAAGACCTCGAGAGCTTGGGGCACTTTGTGCGTCAACTGCCTTATGTTGAGGACTATCGCGCTCTATCAAAACGGTTCCTATCCGCTGGGCCGAAGAATGCGTCGCTTCATGTGAAAGTGGAGCTCTTGGCGCCGTTGGAGATGAAGATCGTTTCACTCTCTGCTTAAAATCGGTTATGGTCCAGCTTCAGGATCGAGCTCATGTGGGCGCCGCTCCGCGCCAACGCTTCCGCGTTCACTTGCACCAGATCCCGGTACGGCTTAAGCAAGCCCATTTCAAGCATGGGGTGGGTGCGCATACGTTTTAGAAGGTTGAGCGTATACGCAAGGCCCGCTTGGCCACAACCTTAAAAGGTCCAATAAACCGTTGATGGAGCTTCGTCTTAAAGACACTTAAGATTGCATGTGTAGATATAATTTTAGCATTTAATAAATCCAGGTCTCCAGCCTCAAAGTTTTTAGCGTTTCCTCTACCTCTTCCGTCTGCATATTCCTTCTGCCATCGCATCGCAAACGTGTCGTAAGACATTCAGTCTGATAGACAGGAAAATATCGATTATTTACGATTAGTGAGAGGGCTGACATCAGCTAGCCGCTCGGCTATTTCTTCCCATCACGATTTGAACCATGGGAGGGCGGCGTCAACAGGAAGCGAGGATGAACAAGCTCAATCACGTAGAA